AACTTCCGCCGGCGATTGCGGCTGATTCCGGCGGGGTTGGAGGTCGTGCCGCATGTCGTTGAACTCAGCTCGTCGAGATCTTTCTATTGACACCGGTGGTGTCAAAAATGGAGGTCGGAATCTTAACTTGAGTATTTGGCCATTGATGGTTTGTGTGAGAGAGAACGTGAGAGGAGAGAGAGAATGAGCGAGAATAAGAGAAAGAAAGTGCAAGAACCCTAAAAATTTCACTATATAAAGTATCTGATTAAGGCAAGATTACGTGCCTGATCTTATCCTCAATTATTTCCTCTAAACAGATTAAATTTATACTGATTAGAGGTAATTAGTTTAGCTTACGTAAGTTAATCTACTACTTACAGTCCAATATCAATTTCTGAATAATTCAATATTGTTTTATATTCTTACTCGCGTAATATTTCAAACTGTTTCAAGTCTTGAAATTAATTTTAGACTGAACAAATTCTAAATTTTAATTTTCTGTATTCTATCCCGAGAATGACGTTTCTGACAGTGTCAACTCCCGAGCTCATATTGTACCCATCTACTATAGGTATTTATCTTGCGACTTTAACCTAACTGTCTAGCAATTAAGGATTTTTTTCTTCTTTTAAAATGCCAGTGCGTTTTTTTTTATACGCCGCTAACATCGTGCCGTGCTTAGAGATTCTTGAAATTAAGATTCTCAAACTATACTTGTACTGAAAATTATTCCGCCTTAAAATACAGCGAGAATTTATCGATCGAATTTACTTGATCGAAACATGAACTTAACATGAAATTTGCTATAGAATTTAGGAATACATATATTAATTCCATAAATCCTCCATTCACAATATAACATAATATTTTCTAAAAAAATCCTTGGCTTAAAAATACATGAATTATATTATTTAAGGTCTAGAATTTTCTCAGTCATTACAAATTCTTTATAATGAAGCTCATTGTTCTAATAAATTCTTTATAGCCAAGCACGATTTTCAACTTTTTTACCAGTTCTTTATAGGGTTCCATAAGCTTTTGGTATGAAATTGAGGCGATTCTTAATTTCAAGTTTTTTTTCGAATGAAAGTTTTTCTTTGCCAGTGAGAATTTGAATTTCTGGAATCCAATGCTGGTTCCCAGTGTGATGTGGCCTGTTCACATCTCTTTAGTTACCCTAGTTTAAGACAAAGGAGGGAAAAAATGAGAAGAAAAAAAAGTGCTCTGCCTTTTTGGCTTATTATGTACTACTTTTTGCTAAACCTCTAAGGTGGAAACCATAAAAAAAAACTTATCGGTGGAGCTTTTTTGTATCGTTAGATTAATTTCGGATTTAGCATGAACAGTTTTGTGTAGCGCATTATAAATTTTAATATGAATTTATATAGATCTAATCGTTAAAAATTTAATTTAATAGTTAAAAAGTAAGGCACCACTGGTGAAATAAACAAGGGTTCCACCGTAGAATTTACTCTTTTTGAATCCCCGTGTTATATTATATAAGAAAATTGTAGAATTTACTCTTAAAAGTGTATGAGTTTAAAGTTTTACTCATCATTTTTAATTAATATTCTTTTATTAGTTTAGTTATTTGATTAAAAATGTTATTAATCAAAAGTAAGAGATATAAATTCTGACCCATACACTTTTAAAGAATATTTATCTCATTTTTCTGTATGTATTACCTTCTTGACTTGTTTGTAACCGTTATAAATTATCGATGGTGAGTATATTTTATATTTAAAAAAATAAATGACGAGTCTATTTTTTTACTAACGTGTGATGCTTGTCTCCGATTGTTCAAAAATTAATTGGCACATTCTTGAAAGATTGTGGCACCTGACCGTCACCCTCCCCTGGCACTTGATAACATATAACAATTATGCGATATGCTACTTTTCTGGTTTTCATATATAGCGTATAAGATGATTTTAGTCATAATCTAGCGACAAAATCAATAATTTTATAACTGATGTTGAGGTTTTGAGTTCGAATTTCTTATCGTTCAATATATATGGGATATAAGGACAGTACTACTAAGCACTAGCTAGATTTTTGAGGCTTCAGTTTTGCCAAAATGCCAAGTAGCCTTGTTGTAATACTAAGGTTCTGTTTAGTTCGTTAATTTAAGTTTTTAATTTGAATTGAGATGTAATTTTATGTGAGAATTTTTTACTGTAGCAAAAAAGTTAGATGTGATTGTTTCTGAGAGCTTTTTACTGTAACAAAACTCGAATGGTGAAATGAACGGAACCTAAATCTAAAATCATGTGGTGATAATTGGGAAGGAAAAAAAAAAAGGCGCATATAGATGATAGCAAAGTATCTTGCTTCAACAATCTTGCCTGTATGGAACCATGCATGATGCATTGCACATTTGTGAGGGTGAGATAAAGTGAAAAGGAAGAAAGGTTGAGAGTTGTTGGTGTCTTATAAATTTATTGTGTGATAGTGATAGACAACCTTTAAATAATATTACTCTAAGAGACAACAAATGAATACATTTATTTCCATGAAAGTGGATGGAAAAGAACAAAGAAAATAAAGTACAAATAGATATATAAATAAGAATAAAGCTTCTTATTCCATTGCCCTGTTGTTCAAAGAGGGCAAACAACCCAACCCAACCCAACATCATTGAACTGAAATATTACAAGTGACACGTTTGGTTTTGCTCCTTTGACCAACTAAAGTGCAAAGGCCTGAGGAAGCTTCAGTAGAGAAAAACGGACAACACTAATCCAATAATTACTTAAATCCCCATTAAGTTTTCAAAGATCTTCATGGCAGATTCTGGCAAACCCAAAAGCACATTTATGCTTTTCCTTTCTTTCCCATGTGAAAGGAACAAAATGACTTCTTTTTCGGGCAAAGCCACAGGCCCGGACAAGCGAGGCTCTCCCCATCCGAAATCAGTGGTGTGGAAAGAGAGTCTAGACCAAGTTGTGATCACAAGTGTTGCGGCCAAAGAAGGCCTAGCTCTTGTTATCTCAAAGTAGTCTATAGCAGATCTCATATAACTGTCATTAACCATATTAACCGCCTTTTGAACCAACTCAACGGCATATGACAATGGATTCTCAACTAGTTCACCTGCTCTACAAAGAGAATTGGTCAGCACAATTGCATTGCCACAGTAGCCTTCGGGAATCGGGGGTTCGAATCTAGGGCGGCCGTCGACTGCAAAGAGGAGCTTTGTCTTCTGATCAGGCTGCATTCTTAGTGCCTCGGTTCGAGCTCTCCATACAAAGGCAGAGAGAGCTTGAAATGTTGTGCACTTTTGCAGGACCCCATCTGTCATGGCCTTTTTCTTGAGCTGCTCAAGTTTCTCAGGGCCAAAACAGAAGGACCTGTACTGCATCTCCTCTTCATAGAGCTTGCTGGTTTCCGAGATGTCTTCAATCTCGGCGAATTCGTCGTGTGCAGACTCTATCTTTGGCGGGTTTCGGGCTTTGAGTATGCTTCTGTCAATAAATGGAGAGACCTTTAAGGGTAAGCCCCTAGCAGTGTTACCCCATGAGTTCACAAATTCCATGGCTGCAAGCCCATCAAACATGCAATGGTTCATGCATAAACCAAGAACAAATCCACCACATTTGAACTTAGTCACCTGCAATTTGAAGATTATCAACACAAAACACTCCATTGACCAAATTTTTTCACCATATCAATACAGAATGAAAAAAGACACTTGAAAAGTGGATTTTGTTGGAAGGATTTTTCACTGCAAATTTCCTCATATCCCTCTATATGAAGCAAAATCATACGAAGTAGGATGAATACCATTCAACAAATATATACCGCGAATTCCCTCAAAATCCTATAAGCTAAGCTAAGTCATAGAAAATAAGATGAATACAATTCAACAACTTAATAAGAAGAAACTTCTAGTCTCACAATTGAGCTTCATATCATCTTATCAAATAGTGATACTAGCAAAATGTGGAAGTCATTCTTATTTGAGGCTACAACAAGAAGTGGGAAGTTTAATAAAACATGAATCATCAAAAAGTGAACGTGACTTGTGCCTAATTCTAGATACTGAATTTGCAATGGTTCAAAATACATAAACAAAAACTAATCAAATAATGACAGATAAATGCACACCTGAGCAACAAGAGGAGGAATTTCAAGTATGTTTTTGGCGCCAGGAATATCATAAACCAGCTTCCCAAGAGTCACAGGATCAGGCTTTGTTATGTCTCCTATCTCTTCAACGGAACAGTCAGCTTCAGCCTCAACAAACACAGCACCTTCCCCTGTGCAATTCACTATAAGTTTCCCCTCGGAACTGATGGTCAACCTCCCCGCAACCGGGTAGTAATGAACAAGAATATCTGACAAGGCCTTCTTAATGACTTCCGCAGCTTCTTCATTGCCTCTCGAATCCGACTTGAAGCAGTAAATAGTACGAACTGTGACCGCGATGTTCTGATCGAGGTTCGAGAGAAAGTACAGACCCTTTGGAGTTTCCTCTGCAGGAAGGACGACAGTTGGTTGTTCTTGTTTCACACCAAGTGTACTAACTTTCTCCATTTCAAAAAACACCTTCTTGTCCTCCCAACAATCTAACATGAATAATAATGTAAAAAAAAAATTGTATCAAGTTAGAAAAACCATTTTACATGCATGTAAATGAAACCCTTTTCATCATTATGAACATAATGAAAAGATGATGAAACAACTCTAGGTAATACCTGAAAATTCAAGAGTAAATATTTGATGAGAGACAAGAAAAAAGTGGCAAGTGTGTTACATTTCACTTTGGGGTTGGAATTATATAGGAAGAACTTGGGTGGAAATTTGACCATTTCTTGTATTGGATGACAAAAAATTTCTGACATGAAATGGACAGATGCTTATGCATAATTGGTTGTAACACACAAGCAATAAAATCTTCAAATAAAACAACCTTCCCCATAGGGAGGAAGAAAAGGACAGCATTTGGTTTCTTTCTCTTTGTTTGCTTTTTCCTTTTTGAGTCTGGTTTTGAAAAAAGTCGTCTTTCTAATGGCAGGTTGTGGCTTAAGCTCATGTGGACTGTGGTAGGCTACTGGCCAACGAACCAAAACCTCACCAGCCAAAGGAGTTTCAAAGGGATTTTTTTAGGGGGTTTTGGTGGGTGTGGTTGGCATCCAAAATGTTAGGTTAATTGGTCCACTTGTATTTGAATATTTTTAAACAAAATTACTTACCTTCTTCTAATGTCTTTAGCACATTAAAATGATGCAATTTTTTTCAAATCTAAGGGCCCATCAAATGAAAATGAAGTTTAATTAGAGATAATGTGCCTTTTCGTTACACGCTAGGATTTGATCAAACAGATTTGACTTGGGAAGAAACCATGAACGAATGGTTCATATTATTGGAAATGTAATAAAAAATTCATGTTTTAGAGTCACTTATAAGTGCCCTTTTTTATCTCAATTATTTATAATGGAGAAATCCCTTCTCTTTTTTTAATCCGCAACTAGAAACAAAACTTACCCAATTTAGCCAAATAATGCATTTACCATTGCTAAGCAGTAAGGTTTAGGAAAAAGAGGCAAATACCCCATAAAATGCATAGGTAAAGGTAAAAATCTTAGAACAATGTATTTAAAAGTTGAGTTCACTAATTCTCTCCTAAGTTTTTTTTTTTTTTTTTTTTTTAATATAAGATGGGATTGAACCGCAATTCTCCACCCTAGCCACTAGACCAAGAGGTCTTGAGCATTTTCTTGTAAGATTTTCGGTGACAAGATGTGTTAAATACATAAGTTAATAACTTTGTTGAGACTTTTAAATCTAACTTTCTAGTGTTAAAGGGGCAATAATATGAATGGGATCTTTCTTTAGTTTAAGGCAAATATCTTTCTTTAGATAACGTATCATGGGGCAGATGTTGTGCTTTTCACAGCAAGTTTTGAGGGATAAGTTAAATTAGCAGGTGGTTGCACTTTGCGTTAATCTAAAGAAAAACTTACATTCATATGATTGCTGGCTGATAATATGTAAAATAGTTGGATTGGAAAGTTATAACGGCATTGATAAATTATACATAAAAAATACATGCCCTCAATTAAAAGCCAATGTTTCCTAAAATAAATAAATAAAGGCTTGGTTATGCCATCAAAAAGTAGTGAAGGGGTGATGTAGTAATATAAACTTTCAATTTTAAAATATTTTTAAAATGATAATTTTATAATGATTAAATGAAAGTCAATACAACAACCAACGACAATTAAATATTAAAAATTTAATATATGCCCTATTCAGCACAAAAGTTAATATTGTATATTTAACATAAAAAATAATATACATCGAAGAGTATTTTCTTACTCAAATGTTAAAATTCAACATTATCACACTAATTTGACACTCCATTAGAAATGCTTTATAATGTCAAATCCCTATATTAATTCGGAGCTTAGCATCTAGGTAAGAGATAGCATATTCCAAAATTACATTTAAATTCCGTTTAATTCATGAATTCAAATCAAATCAAGATTCATGATTCTAACTCTTAAATTTTAAATTTTTTTATGAGAAAAAAATATTATAACAAAATCAAAAATTATAATTTGAACCACACAAAACCCTTGAAACAAACTATCACCTTAATGTGAAATTTGGTATATACTACTACAGCGGGTGTTAAATTTAACATCAAGATAGCATATGCCAAACTTTACTTTAATTACATGTTGATTTGAATTGTATGTAATAAAACTTTCCTGGAGCTGCAAAATTTGAACTTTAGTTGCTGTCAAAACAAGCGCAATAGCAGACAATAATGTAGTCAAGAGACATGGAACGGGAAAGAAGAAAGAAAAACTCACTACTCGTTGAAGAGTCAAAGTTAACAGTTACAACTAAACAATTTTAGAGTAGGAAAAAAAAATTACCAAAAAAAAAGAATATATAACTCTAAGTAAATTAAGATCTGCTCAACACTACAGAAAAGTCAATTGATATGGTACAAACAAACCCAGTTGAGCACATTTATCTGCAAAAGGTCGCTACGTTCAGAAGTATCCAAGGTAGTTATCATCCGAAACTGCTGATATGATAATAACCTATAAAAGAAAGTTGAACTACCTAATGAATTCACCACAAATATGGATCATATGATTTGCAAAATATACAAGTTTCCGAGCCACAGACGAACTAAGCATCATCATCGTCATCCTCATCCTTGTCTCCATCTTTCTCGGTATCATCACCAGCTTCAGCATCATCCCCTTCATCTTCCTCATCAGTCATGTTGTTTATCACTTCAGTAATTAGATCCTTCACCTCAGCTTTTCTATGCATTAAATCCACCCCAAAGTGGGCACCTAACAGACATTGCATTTGAAAACTGAGCATTAAAAAAAAATCAACAAAAAACAGTATTTTATTGTTAACAAGGATAAGCCATACCTAGTTGCCTCAGAATGTCAGATAAAGTCGCCTGCATTAATCAAATACAGAAGATTTGAGAACAATTTGCCCATGCCACATAAGAATCGAAACAATCAATATAACGCCAAAACATAGTCTTACCGTATTGAAATCAACTTCTTTCAGAATATCAACAATTACTGCATGCAAATCCTTTTTGGAAGGCTCTGCTGCCTTGGCCTTTTTGCTATTTTTACCTTTCCCTAATTCAAGCAAACATTTCAAAGGATTAAGGGAAACAAAAATTCTTAGTCTTACACAATCCCAAATGCATAATCTAAAAGGGTATATTAGGCCAAGTTTCTTCGGCCATTCCTGATGTATGTATATAATAAGTTGGAAAAAAAAAAAGCAATGAAATGCACAATCATACCAAATATGCAGTAATACCAATTAGGTGAAAATGATCTTTTAAGCAAAATAATAGCCACTTTATGCAGAAAGGTAAACAAGTGAGCAAAGCACCTTGATCCTTGGCTGAAACCTTTACTGGAGATTTGCTTGATGACTTTTTGCTTGCAACTTTCACCTTAGCGTCCTTCTGGCTTTCCTTTTCAATCTTCTGTTTCTTCGATGCAGATCCCTTTGACTTGGAACCCGAAGTTCCATCAGCCTCACTTCCACCTTTTTTCGAGGTAGATTTAGATTTCTTCATAGACTCTGCTGATTTCTTGTCCGATTTCCCTGGAGTGCTCTTTTTGACGGGTGTAGCTTTGTCTCCAGTTTTAACCTTCGACTTTGAGCCCTCCTTTTGGGTCTTTTTGGATGACCTTTTGGGACTTGACAACTTATCTTTTGATTCATCATCTCTGTCATCAGATTTATCTGAATGGACACTTTGTTCGCTCATTGAATCACCATCATCTTCCTCATGAGAATCATCTTTTGCATCTGAAGATTCAGCTTTATCACTATTCTCATCTTCTTGAACTTTGGATGAACTCTTTGTCTTTTTCCCAGCACTTGGCAATTTTTTTTGTTTCTAAAGATAAAAGTCAATACAGCCAACAAAAACTTGTCATTAGGTGAAAATAAGCCTTGTGCAGGTAAGATAAACCAGTCAGAGCCATAACTAAAAAGATACTAGAAAACCATAATTCAAAGGATGCACAATCAAGGCTCAAAAAAGCAGGGAATACTATGCATCTTTGAACACATTTATACTGAATTTAGCACAAGGGCCTAAGAAAATGGAAGCCACCATGACACATTATCACTGTTTCAAAGATCATGCAAACATTAACGCAGCAACCATTGCTACGGTTTTTCTGTTTTGCTTGTAAAATGATAACTACATTTCTTATTCTGCCCACAAACATGATCTTAACATATTTGATGTTTGTAGTAAAGGTTGGAACATAGCAAATTTAAATCATCTGATCATATTAATGCAGTCCAATTGTTGACAAAAATACTAGTGAGTTCTAGTCAGCATTAAACAACTGAATATGAACTTGTTTATTAGAACGAGAACACTATCAGACTTCCAGACCAAGTAAAAGAGATGATTCCTATTAGTGACGCTACGAGTGATTACCAACTAAGGGATGAAACCTTTCGTGTTGAAGTTCAAACAAGACATTTCAAGACCAACAGCATGAAGAGGCAACTGACCAGGTTGAACAGGTATGCTAAGGAAGTGTTACTCATAACAAATCAGGAAAAAAAAATTTGAAGTTATTACCATAAATATTACCAGATACCATTTTAGACTAAGCAAACAAGTTCATAACAAAAAACTTATTTCATGATTAAGGGGGTAAAGATTCTACTGCAGTAAACATGAACTAATTAAAATTATAGTGTTCAGATTTTATTAATCAAGTAAGACCTTGGCAGGTGTTTCTGGAGATGCTTCTGAACTGCCACCCTTGCCTGGTGTGACCTTCCTCCTCCGCTTTTGGCCTTTCTGAAACTCAGTTAAAAAGTTGTTTGTAACAGTTAACACGCAACTAAACATACTCTCCAGTCATATCTTGTAGAAAGAAACTGAAATGGTATGAAACCTGTTCCTTATCAGCGAGCAACTCATCAGTAGTAGCATGTGGGGACTCCAGAAACTCCAGTAATTTTGCAGAAAGTTCTTCCTGGACGAGTAGATAGTTGTAAGATAAGTGCAAATAATCACAGAACACTCATATGACAGGAAATTTATCCAGCGTGTTTGGAACCAATTCTGTTTTTGTTTTTCACATTTTTTAAGACAAAAAAATTAGATTGAGGGGGAAAACGTGTTTGGAGGAAAAAAGGTAAGAAAACCGAAAACAATTCCATTTTTTAGTTTAGTGTAAAATCACTTAGAAAATGAAAATGATTTGAAGTCGTTTTTCAATTTTTGTTTCCATTTCCTTAGCAGGTAGGTGAAAATTATATAACTAAACGGAGTTTTAATTTTTTCTTAAATTGAAAACAATCTCTTAATAAAATTACTAAACACATTATCAAAAACGATTTCTATCTAAGATTAAAAACGTTTTCATTTCCAATTTCATACACAAAACAAAATCATTTTAGAAACAATTCCAAACGCACCCATCATATCACACTTACCTTTTTTGTAGTAGACCTACTAATTGGAATATTAAGAAATTCACAGAAATACATCAGTTTTTCCTTGACACATTTATCAAGCTTCTCTTTCACTTTTGCCCTCTGCTTTTCTTGCTGAGAACAAAAGAAACCTAGTATGAGAGAACTACAGCAAGAAAAATAACTTACCTATATAGAGCATAGTCATCAAAAGATAAGATATAAGTTACATCTCGTGCATACATACATGTCCGTAAAAAAAATGTACAAGACTTGAAAAATAGAGTACCTCATTCTCAACCCAAACATAACCTGAAAACTGGCCAATATTTCTCTTCAAACTATGTGCCTGCACAAGGTCATGAAAGATAAAACCTTTAAAAGATAATTCTTTTGAAAACACTATAAACAAACATAGACAGAAAATGTAAAGAAAAAAACCACTCAGACAAAGCTAACCCCACACACCCAATAAAAAACAAAAACAAACAAAAAAACCGGTTACCTTTGCTTTTTTCCCAAAAAGAATTGTGTGAAGTAATTGAAGGTTGTCATCAGCTTTTCTCTTTCCCAACTTGAAAGCCACTGAAACAGTTTAGACTATCAGATTAAAAAATAGCTAGGCAGCTGTAACAAGAAATTTGAACAAAAATAAATCACTTTCCAAATGACATGCATATACCAGGGATAATAAACTTCTACCTCCCTAATAGAAAATCCAATAAAAAGAACGCAGATGCAAGATATAGGTTTCGCATCAAACTTTGTTATGCTGGCTTACATAGAAATATGAATTAGATCGCATGCTTAAGACAAGTCTTAAATGAAAACAGGGCAGCTTTATATTGACATTATACCAACACCAAGCAAAAGTTTAGGGACGCAGAACGCGTTTCTTTGAACACAAGGGCGTATAAACAACTGCAGTCATGAAATTCTGGGTAATATAATTAAATCACCAAGCAAAAATTTAGGGACGCGGAACACATTGCTTTGAACATAACGGCATATAAACAACAACAGTTCATGAAATTCTGGGTAATATAATTAAATCATAATAGCATGGGAATACATCTTTCATCACATGTTTACGGAAAAAGGAGAATTGCCAATTCCACTTTCCCATGCCATTAGAAGCAATTACAAAAATCCTAAGCTAAGGAACACCTATGAATATTTTGACTTACACCCTAGATATGTGACATTATGGTATTATAAACATCATATAGCAAATACGTCATGACAAGATGCCAATACCAGGCATATACAAGCGTTGCAATTTAAAAGAGCAAAAAAAAAAAAAAAAAAGAGCAGGCAATACTCAAGAAAGCAATTTCTGATCCAGTTTGTTCATGAAAACAGTCTGAATAATTCTTCAAGGAAAAAAAATAAAACCATCCATTTTTGCTAATTAGCAGAACAAATACAAATGCAAATCCAACTCCCAACACAACAATGCAGGTGAGGAAAAAAAAAAAAAAAACAGAGAGAGCAATTTCTGATCCAGTTTGTTAGGTGGCATAATAACAGTCTGAATAATTCTTCAAGGGAAAAAAAAAAGAATAAAACCATCCATTTTTGCTATCTTGCAGAACAAATACAAATGCAAATCCAACTTCCAACACAACAATGCAGGTGAGGAAAAAAAAAAAAGATAAAGAATGGAAGACATTTGAGACCCGGAAAACAATTAAAAAAGTTTACCTACCGTTTCTACTCTAAACTAAACCTTCTAGTCCAACAAAAACCATAAATTCTGCAATAAAAGCATATCGATACATGGCGCTAACTAATGAAAACATACCATTTGGAATTTCTTTGAGCTGCGTTCCACGACCCTGAAATTAAAAGGAAAAAAAGAGGCAAGAGATTTGAAAATTATGCTTTGTTCTTGAACTTGCGCCTCCGAAAATTTAAAGACTGTAATTTCTCTGTAATTGAGAGTCATATTACTTAATAACAAAAAATAAATGAATTCCAAGATAAATAAACCCAAAAAAAAAAATGATATTTTCTTCTTCTTTTCATAATTATACCTTTTCAATTGACAACCCTTTGCTCGCCGGCGACCTCCCCGTCGACGGCGCGGAGTAGCGCTCTACCACTTTCCTCTCCCTTGTCGGCCTATCGCTCGCCGGAGTAACCAGATCCTTCTTCTCCGCTACCGATTCCCGGCTTCGTTTCTTCTTCTCCGACGGGCGCTGCTCCTTCTTCGAGCTCCCCTTCCGACCTTTCTTCTCTTCTTCCTCTTTTTCCTCGCCTTCTCTCTCCTCCTCCTCCTCCTCGCTCTCTTCACCTTCCTTCTCCTTCTCTTTCTCCTCCTCGCCTCCTTCTTCACCTTCTCCCTTCTCCTCCGCAGCTTTCTCCTCCTCGTTCTCCTCCGCAACTACTTTCTCGGAAGAACCTTCTGGAACATTCTCCTTCTCCGCATCCTCTTCTTTCTCATCACCTTCATCCTTCTCCTCCTCCTCCTCCTCCTCCGCCTCCACTTTCTCGCCCTCCGGCTTCTCCTCCGCAGGAGCTCCGTCTTCGGCCTTCTTCTTCTCCTCCTCTAGGGCTTCCGACGCCATGGCTACCAAGAATTAAAGCAAGAAAATCAGAAATCAACAGTGGATACCCTAAAACCCTAGATTCGGGTTTTTTGGGGAGAAATGAAAGAAAGAAAGAAAGAGAAAGTAAAAATATTGAAAACCCTAGTATATATGTATACATACGAGATTTGACTGATGAAAGCAAAAGAGAGAAGAAAACGAAATTTGGGAATTTTTGTGTTTGTGTGGGAAAAATTTTTGGGCGTTTTTAAAGTTTGTGTTTTTAGGCCTTCGAAGGCGCGGGCTGGGATTGGTTTTTGGTGGGCGTTTCAAAATTTCACGCGAAAATTTTTCACTTTTTTTTTTTTTTCCTCCCTTTTTTTGGTTTGGGGGCGTGGGTTTTTTTTTTTTTTTTTTTTTTTTTTTTTTTTCCTCCTCATTTTTGGGTTGAGCGCGCTGGTTTTTTTTTTTCTCTCTCTCTCTTGATCGCCATTTATGGACAGTTGTCAGGTTTCGCCACGTGGGCAGTTGATTGGTTGATTAGTAGGATTAAAGCCCCTTGTTGTATATTATTTTGGGTTTGAAAATCAATTAAAATGTTGGTTTCTTTTCTACTAATTGTGGAAAATTTTTACAAAAATTAGAAGGATCGAGGATGGAGATGTCATGTGAGGAGATTCATGATAAATTTTAGAAATGAAAGTTCAGGTCGTCTGACTTAACGATTTGAAGAAGATTTTTGAGTCAGATCAATTCAGTCCTAATATTTTAACCGGTCAAGATAAAAGGGAGTCAAGTCGACCCCTAATGTACTTTTGGATCTAAACTCTTGGCCCAACCTTATCTAAACACTACATCGAGCCAATAATGATAGGCTTTGGACCTGTTTATTTTATCTAATCTAAACTTATAATTCTACTGATAGTATTGACTCATCGCAACCATTAAATTCAAATCACACGATGTGCGATGATTTATAAAAGACTAACATCAACCGTACTTATTGTCTAATTGAAACTCTATGTTAGGTACCCTCGAAGTAGAGTTATCCTTCGTTGGAAAGGAAAAAAATATGTGGTTTTTTTTTGTGAGAAGTGGTTTTTCTTGTGTCTTAAGACTTCAAACTTTCTAAGTCTACGAGAGATTCTTCCTCATTTAGATACATCGTGTTCATGGATTAAAATTGCCATTGGTGGATGGTTAAGGAATAAAAATAAATTATGTGGATTTTGGATGGCACGCAATAGTGGGTGAAAGAAGTGTTGGTTTTAAAAATGATTTTCTATGTGGAAGTGTAAAATGTAACAAAATTTGTACCCTAAATGCACCATATGCGTATATGACATGGAAGATGTTGTGCATGTCTTTGTGCCCTTGTGGCTTATTTAAATACATTCACTAATTAAAAAGTCACAGCTGTTATTGGTACAACAATTAAATGTATCGATAGCAGTATGGTTCCCACATGGAACTTATCTTTTCTAAATGTTATACCATAATTTTTCACAAGTCTAACATGGCATTCCACGTAAGATACATCATAACTCAAAGCTCAAATTGAGCTTGGTATCCTGAGCTCAATACCTTGAGCTTAGTACTTTGAGCTGGGTATGTTGATCTAAGAAAGTTAAGCCTAGTACCTTGAGGAGGTAAGTGAGGAGTACCTCAAGGAGGTCCTCAAAGGAGTACCTCGGAGAGGTAAGTGAGAGGGTCCTTAAGGAGGTCTTCAAAGAGGTCCTTAAAGAGGTAAGTGAGAAGGATTACATAAAGGAGATAAGTGAGGAGCTCCTCAAGGAGGTAAGTGAGGAGTACCTCAAGGAGTTAAGTGAGGGGAAGTGCCTTAGAGAGGTAAGTGAGGAGGTCTTCAAGGAGGTAAGTGAGAAGGAGTACATCAAGTAGTGTTATGCTAATATGTTTCCCTGAATCTAAAATAACGTCTCACGAAGTCCACCTCGAAATTGAAAGTCCGGATTTGAGCTCAATACCTTGAGCTCGAGGTGAAGTATTCGAAGCTCAATGCCTTAAGCTAAATACCTTGAGCTCTTTATACCTCAAGTCCGGTACCCTAGGACAGTTGCCTTGGAGTAGGGCGAGTTAAAATAAGCCTAGCCCCTCACCTTACTTCCCACGTGAGAAATGAGGAAAACCTCTTCATCAACCACCCCACATCATTCGGGTTATTAGGATATATTGGAGTAACCGTCATGTCACACGTGGACTAGAAATAGAGAATTTGCATCTGAAGAGGTGCTTGGAAATCGCCAACTCTTTCACATGGGGAATAAAGAAATTACCACGTTAGCAATCCTACGAGGTACGGATTACAAACGAGGGAGGTAAGAGTTCACATCCATAAGGAAGCGAGAATAATGGAAGTGAAAACGTGGGTTGGACGGTTACACCTACGGGAGACTATTACTCAAGAGAAAGGGCCTATAAATACGAGAGCATGTAAGAGAGTTAATGTATTAATCTCATAAATTCAATGAAAATCATAATAGATGTAGGTCATAATGGGTCGAACCACTTTAAATTCTTGAGTTATCCATTTATTTTCACTTTAATTAATTCGTTGATGGTATTTTGATATTGTAGAATCGGATTTCAATCTAGAGGTTTGGTTCCTCTGAAGATGGTCATTTATGCCGTCAACACTAAATATATATTAAACTTCAGTGAGACTCAACTATGTAATTGTGAATGCATGGAGATGGGAGGATAAGAATCCCTTATTATAAATATTGCATCCTAATTATTGTTTTAACATTTTTTAGTGTGCAAAAGCTTATAATCAAATCTCTTATCCTATTTTTTAAAGGTTCATATCCATAAAATCTTACAACGTTTATTTTCTAAATGCATATCATGCATGTCTTGTTTAATTTGAGCACAATCATGAATCAACAAAGTTGTTCTGATTAATTGCAGTTATACAATTATTATTTGGCTCGTTTGATTTATAAGTTTGAAAATAATAATTTAAACAAAAATTTAAATTTTATGAAAATAAATAATGTGGCAACAAAATTTGAACATTATTATTATTATTATCATCATCATCATAATCATTATCAATATTAAATTCAGCCCCGCTTCCTTTCACACCAAAAGTAATATATTTGGCTTGAAGGTTAAACTCAAACGTTGCATGGTTGTTCTTCCATTGCTAATCTCTAGTTAGTGGCCTCGAAGAAATTAAAGGCCCCATACATTTCACAAATTCAAGTTGTAAATTTGAGTTAAAAAATAAATTGATGTGAGATAAAATACTACGGAAAAACATGTTAAATTTGAATTTTTATAAGAAAAAATATTGTAACAAAAAGTTTAAGTTATGATTCAAACAATAAAACGAATGAAACCTAATAAATCAAATCAAACAATTTTACACAACTAACTCCTACAAACACAATGGGAAATTTAGTAACATCACGTATGAGTTGATGGTCACTGTCCTATGATCGACAAAACATGAATCAATAAGCGTTATCTAAAAACTCAACGAAACCTTTGAAAAAAAAAAACAAACAAATACTAGCCACACAACACTTGTTGATGGTAAACGAACATTATCTATGCACATCACTTTTATATGTTATGAGCATAGAAAATGTAGAGTTTTTGTTGAAGTCAACTCTTACTAGACATGAAAATTTTACATGTTAACTCATTTATTTGTAGAGATTCACATTAAACGGGGTGGAGAAAATCTGCTTTAAACAGATTTGGATTGTAAATGGGTTAAACTTTTAATCCATTGCGGGTCGCAGAGCGGGGACAGATCTAGAGGTTCCCAGCCTTATTCTCCTTTTTCCCTCCTGTTTAATAATATTATATTTTTAAATTAGATAAATTATGCATAATATGCTATAATATATAATTTTAAGTATAATCTAGTGCATAATATAGATTAAAATTTAAAACTGCATTTCCTTTATTATTTAATTATTTATTTTCAATGAAACTAATTAATCGAGTAAATGAGGCATCACAAATATCTCGAACTAATGATGGCAATTCATCTCGTAACCCAGTAATTTATGCGGGTTTATAAGATGGGTACAGTGAGTATTTTTATTCGCGGGGCGGGTTGGTGAGAAGATCGCTCAGCCACAAAACCGTCCTGTTGCCATCCTTAACTCTGACCATACTGCCTAACCAGATGAATAGCATGTGTTATATAATAGTACACACATCCTGCAAACCTAACCGGACGAGTAACAATTGTTATATAACGCTTTAGGACCAGATGAGTAACATGTGCTATATAACACTTATGCGTTCCATTACCTAACAGGACGACAATGTGTTATATATGGCACTTTGGGACAGGGTGCTGCCAAAACTTGGAGGCCAATCTCAACTTTAATAGAGCAACTTTGCTCTTGCTTTGTATGGCATAGAGAGTGCCATGAGTGTTTGGTAATAGCAAAAGTTAGAATTAGTTTCGAGTCTATCATACATTATGATATTGGAAGAAAGAGAAAAATATACTAAGACTTGAGATGAATTAAAATTAATAGGTCAATAGTTTATATAAGTTAATAAATAGACTAAATTACTGTTTTCGTCCATAACTTGTCTGGTTATGAACCATAACTTGACAAGTTATTGTCCATAACTTGTCTGGCTATGAACCATAACTTGATAAGTTTGTCCATAATTTATCTGATTATGAACCATAACTTGATAAGTTATGGTCTATTAATTTCTATAACTAAAAGTTGGCCTATATACTTTATTAAGTTTTTCATATTGGAATATTTTTTACTATTTCCCTATGATCTTTGGGTATTTATGTAATTTTCGATCTTGATGTATCTTTTTAATACAAATTAAATTAGTTTTATTAACCGTGCTTTGAGTTCTACAGTATTAAAGTCTTCCCGACAACGAAGATGTTGTTATGAAGTGCATCGGTGCCGTTTGTAGCAAACCAAGTTGTTTTTTGAAATGTTTTTTTGCGGTTTTTGAGGCATGAAAACGAAAATATTTTTTAAATTGTATTTGATTAGCAAATGAATACAAAAACAGGGAAAAAATTTTGAGGATATTTTTGTTAAGAAAATACTTAAAAAGCAAATTTCACATTTTCATTTTCATTTTCTAAAATTATACATGTTTTAGAACTTTTCTTATATCAAAACAATCTATATACTAAGAAAATAACTAAATGCGATTTCATAAATAGTCTCATGACCATTATCAAAAAATTATGAGGCCTTTTTTATAATGTTTTTAAAATGATTGTTCATTTCTATTTTCATAATAAAAACAAAACCATTTGAAAACTCTTCACGGATTGATTTTTAATGTACTTAGGAAAAAAAAAAAAACACGGATGCCTCATTGTTGTATGACCTTAGTAGTGGCATTAATGAGATGTATGACCGGTTTAATTTACTCACTTGAACACATGATTCTGATTATATTCTTTTTTAAGAAACTTGAATAAAAAAAATTTCTTTTAATAGACAAAATTTAAATTTAAAATTAAAATCACTTATTTGAACTCATAAGGCCTCGTTCACTTCGCGGATTCGAGTTTTCAATTCGAGTTAAGATGTGACATTTTCTGAGAACTTTTTACTGTATAAACTTAGAACTGAAAACTCAAAACGGTGAAATAAACGAAGCATAAAAGAGTCGGCAATGTACATATATGTCGAGCTAGGTTGCGGCACGCCTCATTGGGACCCCTGTTGAACCAACGATGTAGCCACGTAGATTTCCATGGGAGTAGGCAGAGGCACGAGTAGGTTTAGTTTCAGCATGGGTTTGACCCAACTGCACAAAGCAAAAGCACAATGAAATTTGACAACGTTTGCGTTTTTATTCTTAAAAAAATATAAAAATAAAAATAGAAAAGTTTTTTTTAGTTTATCATTTTAATTTTTTGAAAAAAATATGGTAACCTACTTTGGCTTTCTATTTTTTAAAACAAAAAAAAAGAAACAAAATTGATAATTATTGATTTGTAGGGTAATGTCGTTGGTCCAAGCACTGACATTTTTGTATCCCATATTCTTATCATGTATTTGGTTGTCTTATTTATATATATATCTTTAATAGTGATCATAATCTTGCAACAGCTTAAAAATTATTTTGCAAAATTATTTCTGTTAAAAAAACTTGAAATAATTTTGCAACAGCTTAAAAATTTTCCTTTTTTTCTAATTTTAAAAAACATTAAAACCTATTTTAAAAAAAAATACCAAACAGAGATGGTTACCACGACTTTAACGAGCCTTATGCACAAGAAAGAAAGCCCAATCTAAAGCCCTTTAAGCCCACAACTCAAACATTAAACGGGTACCCAGCCGCCCGAATCGAAGAACAGAAAACCCGAAATGACCATAAAACACGACCGTATATATTCTAAACCCTAACTCACAACAGCCTCCAAGCAACCCAGCTTCCTTCTTCCCATCACAAGAAACCCTAAGACGCAGTAGAAGATCTACTCGCCATGGTAATAATTCATCGCCGTCGTTGCAATCCTTTTCCGATCGCCATATCTTCCGATTTCTCCATTTTCAAAGCTCTCACTTCGTCGCTGTTTTGCAGGCCCCGAAGAAAGGAGTAAAGCTGACGGCTTCGTCCAAGAAGAAGCCTGTAACTTTCTCTTATCTCATTTCTACGGTTTCGCATTTGCTATAATCGGTTTGTGTGATTTCGGATTTTGATTTTGGATTCGGTTTTGGTTTTTGTAGGAGAAGGTTGTCAATCCGTTGTTCGAGAAGCGTCCGAAGCAGTTTGGAATCGGCGGGGCTTTGCCTCCGAAGAGGGATTTGCACAGGTTCGTGAAGTGGCCGAAGACTGTTCAAATCCAGAGGAAGAAGAGAATTCTTAAGCAGAGATTGAAGGTCCCTCCAGCTCTAAACCAGTTCACCAAGACCTTGGATAAGAACCTAGGTATTGATCGGACCGTCAATCTTATTATTCGCTCTTGACAAATTCGCGTTTTTGAATATTGTTCGGAGCTGATTTTTGTAATGATTGTAAGACTTTGTCATGAAATGAAATGGATTATTGTTGTACACACGAGATGGCATTAGCTTAAGATTTGAATATGCAATACTTTTAAGTGTAGTCTTTTCCCTATTGCAAATGTGAAAATAGCAAGATTTGTTATTTAATTGATGTGTACTTAATATTTATTATCATTGTTCCCTATTTTTTTTTTTCCATTTTAGGAGCCTCGACTTTAAGATTGATTCATATTAAATGGAACTCTCATACTTTGGTTTTTTAGAAACGATGATATAGTTTGGAAATCAGGGAAACAGTAAGAATTGTGTTTAAGTCGGGTGAAAGGTCTCTTGTGATGAATACAGGGTAGAATGCCAGCTATCGTGATTGATTAATTTAGTTCTTAGTTGTATCGTGTGAATAATCTGCCATATAAAAACTTAGGCCATGTTTGGAATTGATTCCGTTTTTGTTGTTCACGTTTTTTGAGAGAAAAAATGAAAATGTTTTCAAAACGGCGTTTTGCGCAATAAAGACAAAAAACATAAATGAAAATGATTTTTTTAGTTTAGTGTAAAATGAGAGAGAAATGAAAAATGACTTTTAGTCGTTTTTCATTTTTTGTTTTTATCTTCTCCTCTCTCGAGTAGAGAGAGAGAAAGAGAGACATTAATAGGTTTTTTTACACTGAAAACAATATCTTGATAAACTACCAAATGCATTTTTAAAAATAATTTCTTTCTGAGATTGAAAATGTTTTCATTTTCATACAAAAAAATAAAATCATTTTGGAACGAGTTCTAAACGTGCTCTTAATTTCTGATTTGTGTACTTGTTCTGCCATATTGATAAGTCCAGATTTATATGTGTTTGGCTATTTTCTTTTAGTCTTCAATCACAAATTCCAAGTTTATATTGTTTATTTGTGTTTGTTTTTTTTTGGTTGGATGTTACTACTTTCAAGGTTGATCCAAGAATCTCTCATATGTTTGGTTGTTAAGAAATGATAACGTACCTTAGAAATCTGTGATAACAGTAGGAATTGTGTGGTTTAAGATGGGATGGAAGGTCTCATTGTAGGGGATAAAGGGTGGTGTGGCAGTTATCCTGATTGGTCTATTTAATTTCAAGTTGTATCATGCTATTAACCCAGTAAACACATATCTTGAGTTCTGATTTTGTTTTCTACCGTGTACTTGTACTTTGTTTATCTTGTTTTTCTTTCAAGTTAATCTCTTTTCTGGAATGTTGATGATGCTGATAGTGACGTTTGAATACTTGTTAACTATATGCAGCAACAAGTCTGTTCAAGTTGCTCCTTAAGTATAGGCCTGAAGACAAAGCAGAGAAGAAGGAACGTCTTCTGAAACGTGCCCAAGCTGAGGCTGAAGGGAAAACTGCGGAAGCCAAGAAGCCCATTGTCGTGAAATATGGGCTCAACCATGTCACCTACCTGATTGAGCAGGTAGTTAAATACTTAAAACTAGTATAATTTTGTAGGAGTGATGGTTTTGTGTAAAGAATCTTGTTGTATGCATGGAAGAACATGATATGTAATAATAACATTGCTTCTGTTTTCTTCACAGAATAAGGCACAATTGGTTGTGATCGCTCATGATGTTGACCCTATTGAGTTGGTCGTTTGGCTCCCTGCCTTGTGCAGAAAGATGGAGATCCCTTACTGTATCGTCAAGGGGAAATCGCGTTTGGGATCGGTACTTTCTACTTTGTTTGTCTTGCTGTTTTTTGCTCCATAAAATTTGTGTTTCCTTGTTTACTGATCGATTTGTTCATGTCACTGTCCTAACAGATTGTCCACAAGAAAACAGCGGCTGCATTGTGCTTGACAACAGTGAAGAATGAGGACAAGTTGGAGTTCAGCAAAGTCCTGGAGGCCATCAAGGTATATTCAAAACCACATTTTCTTTTGAGAAATGCTAGCATCATTTTTTCTATTGCTCTTTTTGTCACTCTCTATATTCATTCTTTGACACGTCTCCACTATCTCATTTTCTATTTGAATGATAATATATCACGTTAGTAGAATTCACGTGTCAAATAATGAAATGTAGAAAGTGACGGATAGGGTGGTGCTAGCGGTTCTATTTTCGTAAATATGCATTAACTCCTACAAAATGTTCTTTTTCATTACTTTCTTCGTTCTCCAATCTTAATTCTGGATTTTGTTTCTTCGTTCTCCAATCTTAATGCGAGATTGTATTTGCATTTCAGGCTAACTTTAACGACAAGTACGATGAGTACAGAAAGAAGTGGGGAGGTGGTATCATGGGCTCCAAATCACAGGCCAAGACCAGGGCCAAGGAAAAACTTTTGGCCAAGGAAGCCGCTCAGAGGCTGAGCTAAGACCATAAGCACATTAGACCTGGAATTGGATGAGCCTCTTTCCTATTTATTGATTTTCATGGCTATTTTCCTGCTCTTTCTTTTTGTGTACTTGAAAAGGACCGTGTAGCTACAAATAGAGTGCGGATGTTCTTTTCATCTGGTTTAACATCCAAGACAACCTTTAGTTCTCTTCTTGGTTTTAATTTGAAGTATTTTTATTTAATTCGAGGATCACTTTAGTGCTCGTTTATTATTTATTTATTGGGCTGTCAGAGGTTTTGTTAAGTATGTATAATTCACTGCGTAAATGAAAATGATAGTGATTGGGTTCATAATATAATGGAAGGGTAAATTTCAATAATAACACTTGTGAATAAATTATTATTATTTTTAGTATTAATTTTGCTTACTTTAACAATCAGTAAAAGTATGTTAGGTTGTTTTTGCTTGAGTTAAAATGACAATTGTGTTTTATTTTATTTTTAAAATTTTGAAAATATTTTGGAGTCTTATAAATTTCAAATATTCAAAATAGAGAGAGGAGTAAGAACGCGGGTGTGTACAGACTAACAGCCCGTTTAGTTCATGGATTAGAATCATTTTTAATTTACGTGTTTTTTATGTGAGAAAATATTGTAGCGAATCATGAATCATGATTCAAATTAAAGAACGAATCCTCTAATTAAACGGGCTAAGAAACTCCGACTACCACCACCGTTTATCATTTTGAGTATTGACGAATTCACGACAGCGAGAACCCACGCAGTGAGAACTCATGATAGCCACTCAGAACACACGAACCCATGAACTCAGAAGCACGCAACGAGAACTCACGAACCTTCGGCGGAGAAATCAACGCCTAACCTAGAAACACGAACTGAGAAAACCTCACCCTTTTAACATTCTTCGTCGGAGAAATCAACCATGAGAACTAACGAGGTAAATGGCGGATTTTGAGACAATGGTGAAAACTTTGTTGGCTTTTTTTGTTTATTTTTTTTATTTTACCATTTTTTGTCATCTTATAAGAAAATAAAGGCTTTGGAGGAGGAGATAAAAACATATAATATCAGTTATTTGAAATTTTTGATTGTCATTGTGCTCCTTATTTGGTCTGTGACTCTGCTTGATAGGCGGTCATAGCATTATGACAGGCATGTCATAAGACAGTCACAGCATGCGGTCATAGTACTATGATGGACGGTCATAATGATATGACCGCCCATCAGGCAGGTAGGCTCATAATGTGACTGCCTGATTGATGACCCTACGGTCATAGCATTATGACCGTCGGTCGTAGTACTGTGACCGCACTCTGTGACTGCCTTATGACCGGTAATAATACAATTACCAACCGATCATAATGCTATGACCGACCATCAGTCATAACACTATGAGCGAGCCTGCATGACGGTCATAGAATTATGATCTCCGGTCATAGTACTATGACCGCACAATGGTCAGACTCTTAGTGTGCCAGTCATAGTATTTTGGTTAACAACTTTGTTTGTTTTTCTTGTTTATTTGTGTTTTTTATGTATTTATTATTTTTTTAACCATTTTTTGTCATCTTAGAAGAAAATAAAAGCTTTGGAGGAAGAGATACCGTTGATACTAACACAATGGGAAGAGGAGGAAGTTAAAGCAAATATTAAGGTCAATTATTTAAAATTTTTTATTGTCATTGTGCTCATTTTTTGATCTCTGACTCAGCTTTATGGTGGTCATAGTATTATGACTCCACTATAACCGCGCAATTTTATGAACGGTCATAGTCTTATGACCACCGCACAATTTACCATTTTCAAATCCGTGCCGATATTGCCGACACCAATATTTTGCTCGGCTTCATCACTATGACATGAAACCCTAGTTGGTTTCACCGGAATGTTGTTGCTTTCTCCTATCTCAGGTGGCAACGCTTCAGCCATTGACTCATCCACTATATCGACACATATTGAAAATTTGTTGAGCGAGTGAACATCCCTCTTCTTCAATTGCAGGTAGAATGTGACATCATAGTTAGACAATATCTTCACAGGAGCTTCTTCATCTTTAATAACATATCTTAAGGATAAACTTTTTCCTTATGGCCGAATCCCAAGCACATTTCTCACCAAATCTATAAGACCAATATAAGTTGTGTTGGTGGAGACCAATATTCCCTTCATTTCACAACCAACGTATCTCGAAGCACAGTCCCAATGTCCATTGTACTTGATGAAGACGTTCAATCCATCAGCCATTCCTAAATAATTTTAAAAATAATAATTGTTAATCAACAAGCAATTACTCCTAGTCGTCATCGAGTCATTAGAAATGGCCAGTCATAACATTGTGTAACGGCCGGTCATAACACTACGGGTCATTAAAATAATCAGTCATAATATTATGATCGGCCTGTCATATCACTATGACTGCCTCATGGCCGGTCATAATACTATGACCGGACTAGGACCTTCCATTTTGACTCATACTGTTATAATTTGACTCATAGACAATGGCTCATACTGTTATGACTGACCGGTCATAGTATTATGACCGGAAATATAATACTATGAGTCATAATACTATGACTTCCAAGGTCAACTATGTCTTTGATGTGTTGGTCGTTACAATCAGTTTACATATTAGTTATAAATCATTCAAAATCTCAAATTGACGAAGGATATTTTCAATTCCTATCACATTAAGTTCAACCCAGTCTATAATGTACTAACAATTTTAAGTCTCCCGAAAAATAAATTTAAAAAGACAAAAAGAAAAGAAAAACAAAAAAAAATTATGTACCAACCTTGATCTGGTACACAACCGGAATATTGGCGACGAGGGAATGAGGGCGTAGGGAAGAGAAAGACTAAGTAGAGAGAAAAACCAAACTTGAGAGAAAGAGAGAGAGAGAGAGCCGAAAATGTGGTGTAGAGGGAGAGATAGTGGGCGGGAGAGAGTTGAGAATCTCTTTGAGGTGCTTTTAAATGATAATTTTGACCTAAGTGGCATAAAATGTATTTCACCCTCACACTGCTGACATGGTGATGCTAACTGTGAAAGTATACAAAAGTGGTGTTAAAAATAATAATATTATATTCAAGAGTGCTATCATTGAAATTTACCCTATAATGGAAGGTTGGAAGACGATCCATAGAGTATTTTCAAAGGCGGAAAAAGAATAAAAACTTTGATGTTAAAAGTGCTTGTGCAATAATCATGTGATGTTTAATAAGCACAGTTTGAACTGATGTTTAGTTTAGTAAGTATGTAGTTTGAATTATAATTTTGATTTAAACTAAGTGAAATAGTATAACTTAGAGTTTAGCTTTCTTTTTAAGTTCAACTGCTTAAATCATTTTGAACTGGACTTTAGCTTTCCTTTCAAGTTCAACTGTTCAAATCATTTTTAAATAGTAAAAAAGTGTCCATTTTTTTGCTTTTCACACTTACTAAATACAGATTTGAATTTTATTTCATGTTCAAATTAAAACTTTAACTATACATCTAAATGTCAATTTAAATCACAGTTCAAATCAAAAAGTTTGAATCATTAAAATTTAAATCAACGAAATAAACGGGACATGATGAATTTTTTATTTTTCAATCAATCTTTTCCTTTTTAATTTTATTTTATTCATCTATCCCTCTTTCCTATCTCTTCCTCTCCTTTCTAATTTGTTGTTTATGGGTATGCTATTTTCTCTCTCATCATTAGCTCTTATTTCTTTTGATTGCTGTCACCAGCGATTGAATTTCAATTTGAAGGAGTTAGTGAATTGTGTTTCTTCGTAAATCTTGGACTTATAGTGTGAATTTAGGATTTACCATTATAATAATTTATATTCCTTTATAAATCTTAGATTTACGATGAAAATTTATAATTTTACTAATATAAGATATTTTTTTAGTTCTGTTCATAAATTTATAATTTACCATCAAAATAAAATTTGTTTGTTCCTTCATAAATTATGAATGTACTTTAATCTAACACTAAATGAAACGTAGTAACTTACTCCAATGTTACCATGTTAGTACAAGCTGTCATCTAACATTGAATGAAATATAGTAACTTACTTTAGTGTCACTATGTTACGTTAAAAAGTTACAAGATAACATGATAAATATTAGGATAAATTGAAATAAATTAAAATGAAATCAAAGTTCAAACTAAAATAAACCAAATTAAAATTACACACAATTAAATTAAAAATATCTAAAACTTCAAAAACTTAGCCAATTTAAATGCACAAAGCACAAAAATTAGTAAAATAACTTTATTTCATAGAGTTATTAAGTCTCAACGATAATCTTATAAGCTCAAAACACCTACTTTAAACCCTAAAATTAGTATATGATGAGCACGAAAAAAACTATTGTGAGGATCACTATGTAGTTGTTGAAATATGGGTTCTTTAAATGAGTCCCACATAGATTGTAGTTTAAATCCTCGATCTTTTGTAGGATTATAAGTAAGAACTCAATTTATCATTTTAATCATCCTAAATGACTTACAAATGAATATTTTTTGTTTTTCTTTTTCGTATCAAAGGTGTAAAAGGGATAGCGCATTTTTGTGATAAAAAAAGAGAAAAATGCTCGAATAGTAATTGTTAGATTAATAATAAAATAAAAACATAATAAAATAATTGAATATACTATAAGGTTAAAGTTGCCTTCATTTTAGTCTATGAGTGCTGAAATTGGTAGCTGAGGGTGTATAAAAAATAGGGCTTTGGGAGCTTCTTGGTGAGAATGACAATATCGTCCAGATAAAAAGACGCTAATGAAGAAGGTATTGCAGAAAAGAAAATGAGCGTATGATGTTTTTGGAAGCAGTTTTGCAATGGAACTTTTGGAGTGAAAATGATTAGAATATTTTCCAGAACGACAAAATATCCTTGTGATCTAGAATCAACTTATTTTGTAGTGAAAAGTTGTTTATTAACCATTTTTTAAACTTAGATTAAGGTGAGATTTTTAGGTGGGAGTGACTAGACATTATTGAGAATGATAAAATGATATTTGTAATATAAAAATAAATATAAATATGGTTGTTAAAATAAAAAAACTATTGTTGGCTAATTTCTTAACAGTTTAAAGCTTTTAGAATGAATTGTTAAGCTAACATAATATCAGAGTGAGATGTTTTGAGTTCAAACCCTTAGTGTTAAAGAAATTTATGATAAGATTAAGGGAACAAATTTCATCTTTTAGTAAAATAACTAATGGTTTAGGATTCTTTTTAAAGTACTCTTACCTATAGTGTATATTTCTCACCGTTTGATTTGCTCAGACTCAAATCAAAACATTTTAAAAAATAAAATCAAAATTAAAAAAATATGTGTAGCAGATAGTTTCTAAAAAATATAAACCTATTAGTAGTTCATTTATATTACATATTATATTATTTATATTTTATAAATGTATATACTCACATATTTATACATTTTGATAGTTGCAAAATCTCATTACACACACATATATATATATATATACATTTATGAGGTGTAATTATTTTATTAATAGATGTAATATCTTAATATTAATATATAAGACCTAATTTTAGATATCGTTTAATTTATGAGTTTAAATCTATAATTTTATTGTGTTATAATATTTTTACAAAAAATTTAAATTTAAAAATTTTGTATCAATGAATTCTCTCATAAATTTAAATGCAAAATCAAAATAACTACTTTGAACGCATAAATCAGACTGTGCCAGACGAGTCCTTCAACACTTATCAATAGAAATAATGACACGTTATGACGTAGTGCACAACTTAGGATTGCGGCAGAGTCTACTGCAAACAAAACTTTTTATGCACGTGAGACTCACGTGGATTCGACAATCAATGACCGGATTCAGTTTTTCGCCGGAAAGAGAGAGGGAGAGAGAGAGAGAGAGAGAGAGAGAGAGAGTGTGTGTGTGTGTCTGTTCAAACTCGGACTCGGTACGATTTGACGCGCGCTTAACCAGGGCAGACATGGAACTCTCCCTAAATGACCCGGATTCTCAACATACCCGACCCGACGAACCAGAGCTCGACCTCTACACCATCCCCAGCCACTCCAGTAATCTCTCTCTCTGAACCCTAATTCCTCATTTTCGCACAATTCACAGTTTTGCTTTCGTTAATCTCAGACCTTTTCGCTGCGAATTTCATCCAGGTTGGTTCGTGTGGGACGAAATCCACGAAATCGAGAGAATTTCTCTCAAGGAGTTTTTCGATGGAAGCTCGATTTCGAGAACGCCGAAGATATACAAGGAGTACAGGGACTTCATCATCAACAAGTACAGAGAAGAGCCTTCTCGGAGGCTCACCTTCACCGAGGTCAGAAAATCTCTCGTCGGTGACGTCAATTTGCTCCGCAAGGTTTTCCTTTTCCTCGAAAAGTGGGGGCTGATCAACTTTTCGGCGTCTTCGGATGGTGGAGATTGCGACGGAGAAGAAGAGAAGAGGTCTAGGGTTAGGGTTGAGGAAGGAGTGCCGAATGGGATTCGGGTGGTGGCGACACCGAATTCGATTAAGCCTATTCCACCAACACCACCGGTTGTGGGAAAGAAAGGAGATAAGTTTGATAGTGGAGTAAAGTTGCCTCCTTTGTCGTCGTATTCGGACGTTTTTGCTGATTTGATGAAGCAGAAGGATGTCGTTTGTGGGAATTGTGGAGATAGTTGTAATTCTGGTCACTACAAGTATACGAAGGTATATACAAATATGCTTGCAGGGAATTATGTTTTTTTGTTGTTGTTGTTGTTGTTGTTGTTGTTGTTATTATTATTTAGAGAACTTAAGCCTGTTTGAATTGTGGTGCTCTTTTTGCCTATTCTTTTATATTGTTTTAGTCGCAGTGTTAGGTACTTGAACTCGAGCAATTTCTTCTCTTGGGAACTCAGTTGTATTAATGTATTTTTGATATAAGTGACAACCCTGAAAAAGTTGTTTGAGAAATTGTTAAGGAGTAATGATATCTACTATTTTTATAAAAATAAATAATTCATTTGCTTCGTCATTTGGTAAACAAAAAAAAAATGTTGCGGATAACTTGAGATCCCTAGCATTGCCTAATTATTCAATCTGTAAATAGGATAGTATGGTGGGCTTGCATTGTTTCTGTGAAATCACATTTAACGTTTAAGTTTTTGCACCTTTGAATTCGACAAGAAATTTTATGTCCTCTGCTATTTCAAGACCGGTTAATTTTGCATATTGCTCTTTGGTGGAATTATCGTCCCCCGTTAACTTATATGAACTATAATTTTGGCAGGGTGATAACGTCTGCATTTGCGCAAAATGTTTCGAAAATGGGAATTATGGAGAGAATAAGTCAGTTGATGATTTTGAGTTGAATGAGTGTATTCGTGAGGGTGATAAGCATGGAGCTGTTTGGACCGAAGCTGAAACTTTCCTCCTCTTAGAATCTGTTTTGAAGCATGGAGATGATTGGGAGCTTGTTGCTCAAAATGTTTCCACAAAGACTAAGCTTGATTGCATTGCTAAGCTCATTGAGCTGCCTTTTGGGGAAGTTCTGGGTTCTGCCACCCATAAAAAGGGTAATTCCAACGACCCCATTGGCAACACAAACAGTTTGACGCAAGCTGAGTCGTCCTCATCTGAGAATCAAGAGACTGTGAAAACTGGGGATCAATGTCATGAGAAGACAAATGAGGTTGAGCACAATGGAGATGCTGTAGAAAATGGTCATCCCTTGAAAAGACAGCGCACTGCTTCCCTCTCGAGTCCTGGTGGTTCGCTTATGGAACAGGTAAGAGTCTTGAAATAAGTCTTGAATCTTCAAAATTTAATGCGAGGTTTGGGAATATGCATGGGGAAATTGTATTTTATATTTTTGTTTTAACTGATTTAATTGTTTTGTTTGTTTTTGGCTACCGACTGTTGGTATAGTTGGAAGCATTATATGTGAAAAACATAGAATTAGTGTTATGAAATATGGAATATCTCCCATCATTGTCCAATTCCCTCCTTTTTTTTTTCTTGATTATTAAATCCCCTCAAACTGTATTAACTGCTTATTTTTATGATCTGAAGACGTGTAACTGAAACGTTGATAGTGTTCCTCTTAGGTAGCTCTTATGTCAACCATCGTTGGCCCCCATATCACAGCTGCTGCAGCTGAGGCTGCTGTTACTTCCTTGTGTGACGAATATTCATATCCGAGGGAGATATTTGATGGTTATGATGATGACGACTATGTAACTGATGGGCAACCGACTCCCATTCCAGATAGCGAGACAAAGAGGTTATATATTCTGCTGAATTATCATTTTAGGCGTTTTAATGATATTATGGTGCTAAGATTTTGCCATGTTTTGTATATTTCAGAGTCGTCGAGGTTGAAGATTCAGAGATGAAGGAAGGGCCTACTCAATCAGGTATGTGTTTTGAAGTCACCATGCAAAATGAACTGGCATTCCCCCCCCCCCCCCCCCCCAACTGAGAAACCGGCTTTAGGTTATCCTTCCG